ATAGTACTTTAAGAAATGAAATTTATTATAATGTTATCCATGTAATCTTTGGGTAAGTTATGGGAGAACAAAGAATTACAGTCTTACTGATGTGATTCGAAATAATAGCAAATAAATGTTTTTAAAACAGATGTTTACATGTTATTGCTTTAAGGTAGGAACCAAAATTTTCTTGCACCAAATACAGTAAATATATCTGGGACCACGGTCAGAAATATTTAAGAAATCATGAAGAGCAGGAGTATCACCAGTGGACTAGAAATGGGCAGATTTCATCCCAGCTTTCAGAAGTGGTAAAACATAGATCCCAAGCAATATTCAAAGGCAAATTCTTAAATAGCTTGTTTATATGCAAATACTGTAGAAAATATTGCTTCATAGTGGTCAATAGGGTTTTCCTAAATGGTTTTGCTAAACTAACTTCATTTTTTGAGATAATAGTGAACTAGTAGGTCACAGAACTGTCTTAGGCAGAATGTATTTTGATTTTAGCAAGACATTTGGCATAATCTTATATGATTTACAAATAAGATGCTAATATTCTGTAAATTCACTTATTTTTAGCCAAGAGTCTGCTATGTGCTTTGCTTGGTATTGTATGTAAATAGGCAAATAGGATGGGCCGTGACTCTGAATTAAACTGTCATGGCCTGTCCTACAGTCTAGTAACGGAGGAACATAATAAAGCAATGAAATAAAAAGATTCCTTTGGCTGTCAAGTGGAGGAAGGACTGGGCGGGGGGTGGGGGGGGGCGGGCAGGAAACAAGAAATAGAGATTACTACAGTTGCCCAGAAATTAGAAGTGATGGATTAGAGTAGTGGCAGTAGAGATGGAAAAAAAAATGCATATGGATTTAGGATCTATTTTGGAGGGAGAAGTAATAGGACACTTGTCAACGATTAGATATGAGGGATGAGAGAGTGGATAAAAGATCAAGGGTGACTTCCAGGTTTCTGGCTGGAGCAGTTGACTGGACTGGGAGCTTTTTTTAGATGGGGGTCTTGTTGTATTCAAAGTTTGTACCAGTGACTTGGATGAAGGCGAGTTCAAGATACAAAGCTTGATGAGACAGTTGATACATAAGTAAAAAGATCAACAATTTTAAAAGATATCATGAGACTGGAAAGATAAAATGTAATGGAAAAGTGCAGAATCTTTTCAAAAAAAGTACATGAGACAGAGCCAGGAAGAGTAGCCTAATAGCCGTTTCCAATAGAAGCTCAGTAAGAATCAGGTGTGGCTTGGCTGCTGTAAAAATGAACGCCAAAATAGGTTGCCTTCAAGGAAGCATGATGTCCAGCTCAAGTTAATAATCTTAACACGCTTTGCACTATTTGGACCAAAACCAATGTGATGGCATTTGCGTTTGGGGGCACACAGCCATGAAGGAGGATGGTTGAGGAACTGGACCATGACTAAGATGTAAAGAGCCTGAAACCTCCATCACAGGATGATAGCTGGGAGATTTGGAGAGATTTAGGTCAAAGGGCACAATGTTAAAATGAGCACCATCAGATGGACTATTTGGTGGAAGACGGTTTCCATTTCAAATAGATTCGAGTAGGTCCAAAGGGTGAAATGAGGACCCCGAGGATAGAAGAGCAGCAGTAGTTTCAGCTCAGCCTCTGTTCCCTATGTGTGACTCTTTCCAGAAACAGGATGGGGTGAGTGCCACATGTGTCCCCTGTGACACACTTCACAGACCTGGATGGATGCCTGTGTGTTGGATGGAGGAGCATGGAGCATTCCTGTGCTGGGTGGAAAGCTGGGCAGGGCAATGTTTAAAGGCCCCTCTCTGATCCTAGAGTCTAGAATTGAGGACTCTTTCTCCTCAGGGGACACAAACTCTCCAAGGATTGTCCCCGCACCACCTCTTTCAAGACGTTGCTGACATGCGAGGGTTCTCAGAAGTTCCTGACCACGTTCTTCACTAGAAAACTCTCCTGCTGCTGCTTCCCCAGTGCCCATGTCCAGATACATGTTCTGGATTCCCTTCTCTTCCGGGCAAAACCTAAGTCTGAAATAGCAACGCTTTGAGAGCTCAGATTCTATTGCAGAGGTTCAGTTGCCACCACAACACCTTTTTCAGCAGGCAGCTTTTGCTCTAACCACGTTAGAACTTGTAGTCAGTGATTAGAGGTGTGCAAGCAACCATGATGTCTGGATGAGATGAAAACCTGAATCACTCATCTTCCTCTTAGCACAGGAATACCTGCGTATATTTCTCTTCCAGCAAACCACAATAATATGTACAAATATCTAACTGGACAAAGAGAGGTACAGTAATGCTCAAGACAGGAGAAATGTTCAAATAAGTCATCACATTCTGGCAAAACATCCCTCCTGCTCCTTCTCTTTGATGTTATGTTTTGTGTCTTTGACATCCCTGGATCCCCTTAAACTACTCTAGGGTCATTGTAGCTGGTTAGACAACTTAGCACTTCGTTCTAAGAATCTAAACAAGGAGATGTACTTCCCTAAATTTTAATTCCATTGATATTACTAGGTCTTTTTCATAGCCTAAGGCCATCTTAAAATTTTATATCCGGATTTTACCTCTTATGACCTGCTAGAAAAAGCGTTTGCTGCATATGAGTTTTCAGTTTGTGGAGGGAAGCTCTATATTTTGGGAGGGATGGAAAGACCATCTTCAGCGATGGGATGATTAAAGGCAGAGGCTGTCAGGCTTCTTGCTACAGGTCTTTACATCTAGGGTACAATGTTTATGTCCTTAAACAGGGGAGCACAAGGGTCATTTTCATGACTGTGGGAGAACCTCACTGTGCTGTTAAGTGTGGCGGAGAAGATAGGTGAAACTCCCTGCTAATGTCCTCCCTGACCAACACTTTTCTCCCAGAAAGAGAAAAAGACGTGTTAGGAGTGAAGAAATCCTTTACTTCTTGTCAACGGCCACAGGCCAGCTGAGCATCACTTACAAAGAGATTCAACCCAGTAGAATGTGTTAAGAGGCAACCATGTGCAAGAACCATGTGATCCCAGGGGCTACTAGCTGAGTGAACAGATGTTTCCTTATGTTTCTTTTGCTAATAAAGACCCAGTTCTCCTCAGTTTAGGGCCTTTGGTTAATCATTATGTAGACGTTAGTAATTATCCCTCCCACTAGGCACATAGCTCCTCCAAGGTCATACTCTTTACTCATTAGCCTGGGGCCCAGTGGCAAGATCCCCTCTCCCCACTAGGTCAGTCCGGGAGAATAGACTCAATAGGGCATGTGATCACTCTAGAACAGCCCATGGCTAATCCGAAAATTCCATCTATCCTATCCCAAGCTGGAAGCCCATGCTGGTCAGAGAAGTCCTCTATGGCTTGTCACATGTAGGAGTTGCCAGCTAGTGTTCAGTGTCCCTAAAACTTCAAAATAAATATGGCTTATCTCTTATGAAAGAAAAATCATACCACAGTTGTGTCCTGTATCTTCCTCTCTGGCAGAGCATATCCAGTTGTGGTCCATTACGTATCTCAACACTACTGGGATGGTTCATAAATGCCTGCTCTCAGTTTCTTCTTCCCCTAAGCCAAAATAGATAATAAGGGACTTACCCCTAATTCACCCTCCTACTCAAGAACCTTAGATAAGTCCATATATGTCTGAATGCTCTTCCTTACAATCATACCTTAACCCAAATTCCCCTTCTTATTAGCTGGTCAGTTTGGTCTTCACCCAGAGTGTTAGGTTTTCTGTTCTTTCCCCCAGTGTTTGTTTTTACCTCTGCTGAGCTCTGTCCCCCTTTTAGGTTTTGTGACCAATCTATGGCATTCCATCTTCTCTGCAGTTGACCATTCTGTAGTCCCTCCCTTATCTCCTTGTGGCTGCACTGCACACAGGAGCAGCAAAACACCATAAGACATGAGAGAGCCGTGGAGCTGTCTTTCTGCCTGGGACAAGGGAAGGCACCTAAGAAGGTGACATCTGAGCTGGGCCCGAGGACAGTGGTTCAGCAGGTGTGCGGGGTGGGGGAAGGGGTTGGGAAGAGAGAGCTCACACAGAGAGAATTGCGTGATGTGCCAAGTGCCTCCCAACTGCACTTGCTAGAAAAATCATTGCCTTAATTACTCAAATGTGGAATCAACTGCCGTAATATATTGTTCTAGGACTATATCTCCCTACATCAGGGAGTAAGTGGTTTCATTTGGGGGACTGGAATTTTTTTTCTTTTTAGTAAATAGGCTTTATTTTCAATTACTAAGTGTGTCTTTACCAAATGATTCAGAAATAATCTATGCAATCTCCCACACCATTTTAGCTGTGTTTTTTTCTCGAGGAGGGTTTGATAATGAGCCATATGTACTAAAACAAAAACATGAGTTTTTCAAAAAAGTATTTTCAGTTTGCTTGTCAAGATTTTCCCATCCGTTAAAAGAAGTGCTTAGTCTTTAAGAGGAACCAGGTGCAAAAAAAAAAAAAAAGAATTATCTCAGTGGTCCAGTGTATCGATTCAAAAATAGCCACCGAGTAATTAGATGAAAAGGACCTCAGACATCATTTAGCTTGCGTCTGTGCTATAGGTGAGGCCTCTAAGGGATGAGAGAACTGAGCAGGTTGCCTAAAGGCACGTGGTCATTGACCTAAGAGTCACTGCAAGCTTTTCCCTCTACCCCCGCCACCACCCCCAGTCCCCACACCCTTTTCACACTTTCTCACTCAGATGTAACAGAAAGTGCATCATAGACAATAAAAGCTTTCTTTCATGATACTGTCTGAAAGTCATCTCAACTGAAATGACCTCAGAGAGCTATTTAGGCTCTGAATTATGTAGAGGATTTGCACTGTTAGGGTTACTCAGATTCTAATGAACAGTTCTTTATTTGGTAGAGCATTTTTATGGAGGATTTTAAAGAGGGTGTGACTAATAGTTTCCAAAATTTGGATGTTTCCATATAGGGTTAACCATATAAATAAGCCTTTGCCCTTCGAAAATGTAAGGTCCGAGTTATGTTCTTTTATTGTTATTACAAGACTTCTTTTCTTTGCTTTAGGATACTTTTGACTTCTGTGACACTGCTATCTATATATTCAATAAACCTTCTTTTGATCTGTTCCAAGGAAACAGGTAAGCTGATGATAATAAATGTCTAGTTTTGTTAAAGCCAGGGTGACTGATTTGCATGGTGATACTGTAAACAAGTGATACCCTCCCGATTCAGCAACTGATTATTGAAGAGTACTTTGACCTACAATCCCTCAAAAACCTACAGTGGTATTGACCCAGAGAAATAGACACCGCACCATGGACATTGCATTGTCTTGGACATTGAGAGGATAGCATTGTCATGTAAAGCAAACCCCCAATTATACCTGTTTTTCTAGTTTGAGATGCCTCTGTTTGAAAGGCTTCAGTTTTTCCTTCGGTCTTAATAAATTCAGAACAAGGATTCCAGGTTTTGATATTGTAGCCTTCAAGATTTTAAAAGTAAACAGAGCTCTCATTCTTTTTTGTGTATATTCCGAGGAGAAAATGTTATGCCTGAGGCAACGTGGGAGTGAGGGTGCTGTGGAAAGGCTCCAGGTTCTGGGCAGTGTAATACCTGAAGTGTTTATTTTCTATTCCTGGGACAAATGGATTCTGTTTGTAATACTTTGACTTTGACTTTAGCTAAAACCACATTGGCCAACTATTACTGTACATAGATGACTCCATTTAGCTGGGACATTTTGTAATAAATTGAGGATCTACCATTGTCTTGTGTAAACACCAGTCTTATGAGAGATTAAACAAAGCTTTAATTATAGTCTGACCTATATTGCTTTCTGTGAACGTTTTAAAAATGTGAGCCAAACTGTCATAAAGAAATATAAACACTTTTTTTTTAAATGAATGGCTTAGCAGCTTAGTATTTATTGAGATGAGACCATTGAACATGTTAGGATTTTGCTGTAGCCAAATTATTCTTTTGACAGACTTACCTATTGGTCTCTTTTCTGAGTTGCGTATCTTTGAACTAAATTTTACAAATGATCAAAGTTCTGGTGTTCACTCTTACATGTTTGTTCCTGTGTTTAGGACACATGAGGCATTCGTGGAATGTGATTAAGATAATTCCTTGTTAGCCTCATCGGTTCACGTAATTAATTCAGAAGGGAACTTTCATCCCAGCCATAGGATTTGTATTTTTAAATCAAATCTTTATTTTAATGATATCATCAGACCTGAGAGGGAGATCAGAATAGGAATTTCCCCCCAGTAAAGTAAGAAGACAAAGACTTTTCGAGATAGTTTAAAATAAGCCTTATGACCTAATAATTTAATTGTAATGCTCTTGTAGCCAACCTGAAAAAGGAGAAATGGTGGTCATGTCTGACATTTTAAAATGTCACGAGGTTGCAACGCCTTACCCCTTGCAAAGCCCAAAAGGCTATTTGTGTGATTTTGAGAAAGACAGAATAACTTGGGGAATCATCCATGGAATGAGGAAATCTTGGCTTTCTTTAACTTTTAGAACCCTGTCATTTCTTGTGTTCTCAACTATGGTTTTTAAATAGGCTGCATGGTTTATGAAAAGCTGGGAGAACAGGTCTTTGGCACCACAGGGAAGCTCGTAATCTTTGGAGCCACCTCTCTACAGAACACTGGAGGTAAAAAGAACACGCTTTTCTATACATAACTTTAAAAGTATGTGAATATTATTATCTTTTCTAATTCTGGTGGTTGGGTGGCCGGATGAATTTTAACAAAATGGAAGCAGGATCGTTCTCATTGCTAAAATGGCACATGGAAAGCAAAGCGGAGAGAGCAGTCACTTATTTAAAACCAAGTATACGGAGTAGCTAAAACTGTCTTTGTGTCTTACTGAAGGTCAGTCTAAGAACAGGCTGCTAGCCTTTTATATAGCTTGCAACGTGAGCCTTAGTATCTTCTTTCTAAAAATGTTCTCATTTTCCTCTAGCAATGCTGAGCTACCTCTTCATAGTAAAAAATGAACTACCCTCTGCCATAAAGTTTCTCATGGGAAAGGAAGAGGCATTTTCGTAAGTTATAGACCATGTTTTTTGTGAAATAACTAAAATGTTTTTAATTTAAGTGTGGGCTAACCGAAGTTTTTGAGTTTTCCCTAGGTTTTTTTTTTTCCTTCTTTGTTGCTCCAGCAAATTTCTCTAGGGTTATATAAATGAAAGCCATTTGAATATGAGCATTTAAAAGGTAGATTTATCTGTCAGGCTGCAAACAGTAGATGCTGCACCTCCCAGAGAGCCTGAGATCTATATCTAGTTTCTACAAAATAGAACAGATACGGAGTACTTTTAACACAGACGTATATTTAACACAGAAGTGGAACACGCATTAAGACCGTTGTCTCTTTCTTAAAGAAGGGAGCAAAATTTACATGAGCCAACTTCATTAAAGATACCGCTAAGCTTGGAAAATGTTGGAGGTACACCTGGCACATCGGTTGTTTTGACTTCCTCTTGTTTAACAGTTCTTGTCAGTCTAGTTTTTCTGTTTTCTTTCAAGGGAGAATCATAGAAGCCAGAGTTCCTTGTGTTCTATCATCAGGACTCAAGGTCAAATATAAGAGATTAGGGAGAAAGCAATGCCTACCTGTGCTGACTTGTTTTTCAATGGTATTAGCCAAGCAAAACAAAAAGGAACTTATCTTTAAATAATTGATAAGACATGTTGTAATCTAACAGAATGCAGTGTGTGCATTCAGTTTTGAAACCATGTAAATAATTCAAAGGAACGCCACATTTAGCTGATGGGGGAGGGGAAAATCCCTTCTACCACTTGGGAGCTAGACGATAGTAAATGAGGAGTGGCTGGGTTCAAGTGTTAGAAATTAATGGTAAAAATTAATAATGGTAAAAATTCATTAAAATGCATTGTGAAATTTTACATTTGAGGAAAAAAAATACAACTTTCTACAAAAATGTGACCCAAGCATTTAAATGCCTCTTTCAGAGCCTGGTATGTGGATGGCCGCGTTCTGGTGGTGGTGGTTACCTTTGGCATAATCCTTCCTCTGTGTCTCTTGAAGAATTTAGGTAAGGAAAGAGCTTGCTTTTATCATAGTCTCTACAGTGCCCAGATGAATCAGAAACCGGATAAAAATGAACAACTTTGCCAACTCTACTTTCACTCGTGGGGTAAAGATTTAAGTGAATGATAAATTTACAAGTATTAATCAGGCTTAACTTTAATATGGGATGAAAACACTCATCAGTATGTGACCCTCCTAAGCAATCCTTCTACTGAGATATGGAGCGGAGAAGTGAAGTTCTGGGGCCAGCGGCAGACACGGTGATATATCCAATAGACGACTTACAGTCTCCTCTGAGAAAAGTACAGAAAATGGAGTTCTCTTTATACAACATCTTAAATATCCGGATTATTTAGATAAGTAGATTTTCAAATCTAGTATCAAGACAGAAAGTTGCTTCTGTGCAGCCTCCCACATACAAGTTAACCCTGCTTTTGTGGAAATTATGGTGGTTGGGAGATTCCAAGGGTAGCAAGGTGAAGAGCCCCAGATGCTCAATTTATTCCTAGAAATCACTTCATCTCCCCTGTGTGTGCCCCTCATGTGGGAAGAGAAGTATTGTAGCTGATATTCACTATGTACACAATAGGTACATAATAAAGAACTATGGAGTAGATCAGGGAGCAAATGCATCTGGCCATAGGTCTCCATCAGAGAGTATAGCAACCGAGAGCTATGGCCAAATTTGGGGCCAATTTTTTTCCCTGGATCTGGGAATCTTCATTGTCTAGTGTATCAGGGAAAACTGGAATCAAAACAGTAATATAATGTTTTTATTTAAAGTCACCATTTTTTTTTTTACCAAATAAAGTAGCACTCTCAAATAATAAATCTTATGTTCACACAGGCATATTTGCACATTATTGGAACTATGCTTGAAATAATGCATTGAAAAAAACAAGATAAGTGAAATAATAACAATAATTTTTTTCACCTTTTCTTTTAGGGTATCTTGGCTATACTAGTGGATTTTCTTTGAGCTGTATGGTATTTTTCCTTATAGTGGTAAGTGCTGATGAAAAGGGTTGGTTTAGTTTTGCCATAGTACAATGCCAGTTATTCATCCTTTGGCTTTAATTTGATCAAGTCCATTTTGTTTCTCCTATATTTCTTAATACCAGGTTATCTACAAGAAATTTCAAATTCGCTGCGATGTTGCAGAGCTAAATTCAACAATAAGTGCTAATTTAACAAATCCTGACATGTGTACACCAAAATATGTTACCTTCAATTCAAAGGTAAGTTTCCTTATCTTTTAAATATAAAAAAGAACATTTTATTAAGGGCATTGTAGTTCTCATATTTGTTGTAATTAAACTGCTTTGAAAGTATTCATTCTCGATAGGACACCATACCACTGCTTCCCAAATTCCGTAAATTTAGAGACCTTTGAGAAATAGACATAAAGATTGTATTTCATGCTTCCTCTTATCCAGTTTATGTGTAGGACAACCTTAAGCATTCTCTGTGAAAATCTCTTTCTGGATCATTAGCTCAGCTCCTCTTTTCCTTGTAGATTTTGAAAAAACAGATTAATAACATCCTTAGCCCACTGCCTTTTCCCTGGTAGTGACGGAAAAGCACACCAGCTCGCAAGTGTCAAGTACGGATACCGCCACACATTGGCACTTAGAAAAACTTTCATACAGTTGGGATGTTGTTAGTAGTATGGGGAACAGTAGACTACAGAACCAGTCAGGCTTGGATTCAAATCCTTTGGCAAGTTACCAAATTCCATGTAAAAAACTAGAATTCTGTGTCTTATAGGGTTTTATAGAATGGGCCTGGTATAGAGCTTTTGCAGAATTAGAGCATGAGGAATGTCAGTTTTTCTTCCTTCTTTTTGTATCAGAAGTTATATTGAGATTGAGAGCTTTAAAAAGCCTTATCTGAGAAAACGAAATAGATACAGATCTCTCTCTCTCCTGCAACTCTAAGGACACAGCCAAAGTAACGAACGTGGAAGTAGTTGTCTTTTTAGATGTCATCTTTTAAGTCTGATTTGATGTACCCTATGGAGCAAAGAGCCGTGGAATAGAGGTGGAAGTCCTGGGTGTGTCACCTAAATTTTTGGAGGGAGTCAGAAGAGTATCAGTGGTCTGTCTACTGCTCAGGGTTCTTGTAGAGACTCAGCGAAATGACGTAGGGAAAGTGCTGTGTGACCGCCCAGCACCATGTAAATATGGGAAGATGCTATGCCTGAAGTAGGTGCAATACACTGTAGGTGAGGTGAACCTAAAACCCCTCTGTGCCAAGTGCCTCACGTCTCATGCTAGATAAGCTCTCTTAGAAAAGCTGCTTCTATTTTAGATATCAAAGCCCTCCTAATAACCAAATAATCCAGGGATTCTGAAGAGCTGTCAGACAAAAATCAGCTCAGAGATATTGGAGCAGAATAATTTTTCGAGTAAAAATGTTTCTCCTTAATGTTTATTTTTCTCTTTCAACTAGACCGTGTACGCTTTACCAACCATCGCATTTGCTTTTGTCTGCCACCCGTCAGTCCTACCAATCTACAGTGAGCTTAAAGAGTAAGAGATTTGTTTTTTTATCTTAATCATTTTTTACATCCCCTCATTAATAGGCAGATATTGTATTAAAATAAATAGACTTGTATAATAAACCTCCATGGACTCATCACCCAGCTTCAACATTTACTTTCTGCCATTCTTGAGCAAGTACTATAATAAAGGAGAAAAAAAAAAAAAGAACAAAAAAAATCAGAAAACTGTAGTATATTTTGGCCATAAACATATAAAGTGGCCAACTATGTGGTCTTTTTTGTTAAATTAGTTTTTCACATACTATGTCTCTTAGGAGAGTTCAAGTATTCGTGTTACTTGATGTTACTTATGCTTATTTTACAAGTGTATAATAATAATCAGCATCTATAAACTGCAAAATGCTTCATGTCTGATTTGCCTCTTACTGGTTTAGATGGAAAAGGCTGTGAAATCAGGGAGAAAGAAATCAATGTTAAGGCCACAAACTGGATAAAAGAATATTATTGTTCATTTTAAACCATGAAGATGATTCTGTGGATTTGTTTTTTGATTGCTGTTTTAGAGAAAACTAAAATCCTGCTTATAAATTTCCTCCTGGATTCTCTTTTTAGCTGACTCTTAGCAGACTTTATAGATTAAAATAGTCATCATGGCATAGTCTTAAGCTCAGAAAAGATATACCATGTAGCTATCTATTTCCATTTTGAAAAATGAACTAGATGTCTGTTAGCATTGATTCACTCATGACTCTTCCTCTTTCATATGTAATTGATATGTGGGTATATTTGGAAATACCTACATCTACTTATATGTACATCAGTCCTACTTTATGATCCTATACTCAGGATCATAAATATTTAAATATGGCTTTGACCTCTTTTAAACCTAATAGTCCAGCTTTTAGTTTGTATTTTTTCTGATGTGTATACTTCTCTCAATTTTTCCTATTATGACACAAACAAATGTTATGACTGTCATGATCTGTTATTGACTACAGGCCTGATAGATTAATTGTTTGGGCCATTAAAGAAACTTAAAGTTCACCCAAAACTCCCAGAGTAAACCTGACCTGAGAGAGAAAGAGCCCTTCACCATCACAGCTGTGATCACTTGGGTACTTACTGGTCTGGAAACACAGACCAAGGAATGGCAGGTGTATCCTGGGGCCACACAGTGAGGGGAAAAAGGAACCTAAGTAGCAGCTGTAGCAGCAGAATACCTGAGGTCAAGTTCTAGCTTTGCCATTCATCTCTGGGGCCACCCATTTGAATTTATTCTGCTCTTTTCCCCTTACATGCTGAGTGTGGAGATAATATCAAAAACGAATATTAAAAAATATTCTCCGCCTTTTGATGAGAACCTGATATTCTTTTGAAAGAATGGGGAAGGACATTCAAGGGATCGGTAGTTCCATGGATCTCTCTCACAATATCCATTTGGTATAAAAGAAATTATTTTAAACTGGAGTAATTGCTGGGGGCAGTGAGTGTAGAAGAGGGGTGATCTTAGCTGGTCAGATCTTCCCTAGCCTGATAGAACGTTGTTAGTATTCTTCTGTGTTAGCACTGGTAGTTAAGCTCAGTAACATGGTTTGTAAGTTTTACAATTCCCTTATCTTTGTTCTTAGTCGATCACAGAAAAAGATGCAGATGGTTTCCAATATCTCCTTCTTCGCCATGTTTGTTATGTACTTCCTGACTGCCATTTTTGGCTATTTGACGTTCTATGGTAAGTGACTCCTGTTAGCACGTAAATATAGGTATTTGTAAATAAATTAGTGAAAAGCAATATCCAAATAACTTTTAACATTTTTTAAAAGATTTATTTATTTATTTGCAAGAGAGAGAGAGAGAGAGAAAGTCTGAGTGCAGTGGGAGGGGCAAGATGGAGGAAAGAATCCTGAAAAGAATCCTGAAGTAGACTCCTTGCTCAGCCCAGAGCCCAAAGCACAGCTTCAGTCCCAGGACCCTGAGATCACGACCTGAGCTGAAATCAAGAGTCAGCTGCTTAATCAAGTGAACCACCCAGGCACCCCAATATCTAAATAACTTTTTAACATGATAGCCCAAAAAAGCAAAAAAAATCTACCCATCGATTGTGCAGGTCTTCTGCATAAAGCAAGTAGTGATGATTCCTTTGTATATTTTGTGCAGACTGCACAATAGAATAATTACTGAAACAAGATACTGTAATTTTTTTTTTCTCCTAATACTGTCCTTAAAAGAAACTGCATTTTATAAGCACGCCACCTTTACTGAGGAAAGTTTAGAACTATACCGGAGAAGGCTCTCCTAATTGCTGTTGCGAATTGGGTCAGATTCCATTAATAGAGAGACAGAGACAGATGTTGAAAGTGAGAAAGAGCAGAGTGCTACACTCATGACACTTGTGTTAATTAAAAATAAAACGCCTGATTGTTCACTGGAAGTTGGAGCCCTGCAAAGATGTGAAGGAATGGCAGAGAAGGTTCAAAGGCATGAAATCTGAAAAAGAGAACAACTAGGTTTCATTTGTAACTTATTGGCCTTGTGGGAATAGTTTTCCTTCTCTTACTAGGTCTTCATCCTCTCCTATGCAGATTATCCTCAAGCTGTATTTAACATCTTTCATTACCATTATGATTTGGGACTTGATTTAAATTTAAATACATATATTTCACGTTGTTCTTTATTAAATCGCATTTCTTTGGGGCTTTTTTTTTTCCATAAACCCTAATGTCTCCAAACTTAAATAGGTTTGGAGACGATTAATTCAGCCTGGAGAAGATTGGCTACCCTGAATATACAGTTGTATTGTTACTGTTTTTGTAAGCAATGGCAAACAGCACTGTCTGATAAATCCATAAATACCATGTTGAATTTCTGCATAAAAATAGTGTTTCTAGCTTTCCTGCAGAGTTGCAGGGCTGGGGGTAGGTAAAGTGAGGGAGGGAGAGCTTCCCTGTTAATTGAACAGTCTCACTATTACCCCTTCATGCATGAATTTTCTTTGCAAATCCAATTTTCCCCCATAAAAAATAGAATATCAAACCCTTTTATACTCTTTGGTTAAAGAAAGAGGCTCAGCTATTTTTAGATGGTTATAAATTCTGAATCAAGAAAATTAGAACTAATGAGACTCTCATTATAACCTAGGGTCCCTTTTCCAAAACTGAGACCAATCTATGGCACAGAATAGAATTGGAATTCCACCCCCAGAACCTTGAGACCGGTATAGTGAGAAGACCTTACGGGAGACATGCAGGAGGGGAAGGTGCTAGACCTTAACGGGAGACATGCAGGAGAGGAAGGTGCTAGACCTTACGGGAGACATGCAGGAGGGGAAGGTGCTAGACCTTACGGGAGACATGCAGGAGGGGAAGGTGCTCTGGTCGAAGGAGTGAGCATTTGCAGGGACTGCCATTCTAGCTTTGGTTGTCTTTGAAATCACGTCCTGAAGTTCAGAGTTAAGAAAAGTTCAAAATGCTACATTAGCTAAATACTTTTTCTTTTTTAATAAGAAAAACATGTATGGAAGAGAATTCTTTCCTGCTGGTGGTGAAGTTAGTGCCTCCTTCTCTTGGCCCCTGGAAGTGGAATGATAAGAGGAGGGTCTGAATGAGGCTCTGCGTGGCGTGCAGTCCACCTGGCAAGACTGCAGAGGTGTAGCATCGTTTGATGAGTGGCACCAACTGGGGAAAAGTCTAGATGAGGAAGGTTTTTGTGCTTCAACTCTGTTATTTTTAATTCCGATTTACTCCCGGGTTGAATTTAGTATAAGCTGAGCATCCCCACACTGCCTGTGTAACTGCTTCTAGAAATTACTGTAAATTCCTTTTAAAGTTACATACGGACAAGTGGAGCCTGTCTCACACAGGGCATTTTTTTCTTTTCAACTTCATAAATTGTTGTAATAGTTACCTCAACACCTAGAGCGTTGCTTTCCTTGCCCTTTTGTTTCCAGATTCTGTGTTGTTAAGAAAAACTGTCATTCAGCAATGTGTTTGTTTCTTTCTAATACTCTCCCTCGCTTTAGAAAACGTACAGTCAGACCTCCTCCACAAGTACCAGAGTAAAGATGACATTCTCATCCTGACAGTGCGGCTGGCTGTCATCGTGGCTGTCATCCTCACAGTGCCCGTGTTATTCTTCACGGTGAGTAAGAGGCCTCCGAGCTGTCGACATACAAAAAGCCGAGGCCTCCCCTTTTCTCCTGTGTTCAGGAGCCCGCTCCAGAGAAAGCCTGCTGAGGGTGACTTCCCAGTGTCACTGGAACCATATATAGTAGGGAAGGACCCTGAGACTCGGTTAGGGCCCTTCAGAGAGAAAGTAGGGTCAGTGAGATAGGGCAGGCTCTGATGGAATAAATCTTAATTCTCATAATCTCTTCCTTCTTCACAAAGAAATGTAGACAGAATGATTGTTTTTAAAGATTTTATTTATTGAGAGAGAGACAGAGTGAGCATGAGCAGGGGGAGGGGCAGAGGGAGAAGCAGACCCCCCACTGAGCTGGGAGCCCGATGCGGGGCTCGATCCCAGGACCCTGGGGTCACGACCTGAGCAGAAGGCAGATGCTTAACAGACTAAGCCACCCAGGCGTCCAAGACGGAGTGTTTGAATCTTCCTCGTACACGATGAGAGAACAGAAAGGGACTGGAAGAGAACACTTAGTCATAGATAGAAACAGAAATTACCCCTCACCAAAGCAAACTACCTATTTGTAAATAAAAATACTTTCCTTAAATCAAGACCTTTGCTTGTAATACTGTGCAAGGCCTTGCAAAACATTTCACAGATTCCTGTGCACCAGTACATGAGTTTCTGCTGAAAATGTGGAGGTTGGCAGGCCGGAGGCCGTCACGGAGTCTTTGTTTTCTTTTCCTGTAGGTTCGATCATCTTTATTTGAACTGGCTAAGAAAACGAAGTTTAATTTGTGTCGCCATATCTTGGTTACCTTCATACTCTTGGTGATTATCAACTTGTTGGTGATCTTCATACCCTCCATGAAGGATATTTTTGGGGTCGTAGGTACGGCTTGATGACTTTACACTTATCAGTGCTCTACAACAGCTGTTTAGAAAGCTAATATTTCACCATAACAACGTCAATTTTTTTTCTTATTTTACAGGAGTTACGTCTGCTAATATGCTCATTTTCATTCTTCCTTCATCTCTTTATTTAAAAATCACAAGCCAGGATGGAGATAAAGGAACTCAAAGAATTTGGGTATGTCTCATGCCTGCCACTCTAATTTTTCTGATTAGTTTTTCATGTAAATTTACCAAATAAATAGCCCATCTCTCCCCTACCTGACCCTACTGGTAGCGACCTCAAAAGGGGAGCAGTAGTCCTATAGCTTTCCCCTTTGGGGGATTTAAAATACCTTATCAGAATCTGATCTATTCTCTCAAAATATGTTACTCTTACTGTGTCTTAACTTTTCCCTGAGCGAGGGTTGGGCCACCTGGGAAACTGGATGTTGTCATCGTCTCTGTAAGGCGATGCCTTGTCTTCAGCAAGCTAGGAAAGGGAGAGGGACTCAAAGATTAAGGGTAGCCCACTGCTTCTGTACAATTCGTGGTCATGTAACTCCTTCCAACAGCCCAGGGAATGTGGGACGCCTTAACTTAAGATGGCTGAGTTAGCTTAAAGAGCCTTTTTATGGTTTGACAGAAATACTTTGGAACAACAGACCTGGATTCAGAAACTACCTTTCTACATTGGGATTCTTGTTTCCAGGTCTGATGAAGTTCAAAGGCATCTTGAAGGTGGTGCACTTGGAGACAGTAAGGGAAGCAGGGGTGAAGTGGCTGCTACATGAGTACCTTCTGGAGCACCATTTTGTTTGGCCTCGGAGAAGGCTTCTCAGCTGCCCTCCCAGATAGTGTAAGCGCTCCAACTGCACGTATCACCCGAGTCAACAGACCCGGGTGAGAGATGTAGGCAGAAGGGATCATCCTTGTGCATTTAGGAAAAGCAGCACTGATGCTGGTACAACATCTACTTCCCCAACAGGATTATCCCTGAAGCCAGAAGTCCCAAATCTTACTAAACCATACCAGTAGGGGCTTCACAAGGACAGAGAAGGAGCCGTCAAATACACTCAGATTAAATCTGAACATGGTAGAGGCCTGTTGCCTGTTGCTCGTGAATTCTCTGGGCCTCCTTAACCCCGCTCCCATGTTAAAACTGGTAGTAGGATCTAGCAGATAGCATTAGACAAGGGCTCCTGTCCATGTGGGGCCCCACTGGGAGTTAGACCAGACCTGTGATGGTAGGCGGTGTACAGCCCTGCCTACCATTTGCCTCTTCTCCTTCCCTTAGATCTATCCCCCAGGTTCCAGTCCAGCCCCCTTGGCTCTCCTGTTACTTCATCCTTCTTCCTGCAAAGCTCTCATTGGATACTTTTTTTTTTTAAGATTTTATATATTTATTCATAAGAGACACACCTAGGCAGAGGAAGAAGCAGGCTCCCTGTGGGGAGCCCCATGTGGGACTCGATCCCAAGACTCTCGGATCACGCCCTGAGCCAAAGGCAGACGCTCAACCGCTGAGCCACCCAGGCATCCCTCATGGGATACTTTTAAGCCCAAGCAATTTCTAATCTCATGTTCTCCAGATTTTGGTCCCCTCTTCCGCCTTCCTGAACTCTTAAAATAACTTAGTTGTGGACACCCATTTCCTATTTCACTTGCTCAGATTGACTTTGCTTTTATATAACTTTTTTCCCACTTTTCCAAACAGAAATGTTTGCCTGCCAATGATAACTAACCTTGGTTGGTTCATAAAAAAATAACAAAATGACCTGAATGACCTGTATATTTTCAGAGGCCTTTTTTTTTTTTTTTTTCCCAGTTAGGAGGTTAGTTTGAAAGAAACTATAAGGATACCCAGAGAGTTATAGAATGGATATTTGTTCTGAGGTGACATGAAGTCAAAGATCAGAATGTGGAGGATGGCCCTGCATAGCTAGTTCTTGTTTTCCCATCCTTGAAGAATCAGATCCATACAATCTTGGGATGATTCTTACAGTTCAGCAATGGTTGTAACAAACTCCAAATTTTGGGGACACACAAAGAAGAGGGAAAGTATTTCTATTTTTCCCCCCAGGTGTATGTGGGAAATGTTGGCCTCACTGAAAATAACCCATGCCTTTGTGTTGCTCCAGGCTGCCCTTTTCTTGGGCCTGGGGGTGTTGTTTTCCCTGGTCAGCATTCCCTTGGTCATCTACGACTGGGCCTGCTCATCAAGTAGTGACGAAGGCCACTGAGACCAGCTGAGGACAGGAATCGTTCCAGCCCGCTGCCCCGTCATGTCACCACACATCAGCAATCTCTCATCACTTCTTTCGCAAGTTTACAGAAGCAAACAGAAATTCACAAGACACCTAAAATGGAATAACACTTCGGTAGCAAAACAAAAAACCTGTTTGTATAATGGTTCCTGTTCCTCTAAGATTTGGGATCGATTTCAGGATTGTGGTGTTTTTTTTTTTTTTTTTTTAAAGTTTCATGCAATTGTATTTCTCAGTATTCTTCACAATCAGTTATTCTTCACCCTCCTATTTTTTGTGACTTCATGGTCCTTTAGAACTTTGAAAACGTAATGATCAATCATGTTTATTTATTATGCATCTGGATTCTAAAATAATTTTCCTGCCGATGTTCCACTCACACCATCTGTACCTTTTTAGAAGAGAAAACGAATCTTGAATTGTATATAGTTATTTTGCTTTACAGAAAAAAAATGGTTTCATAAATATTTTGCCTACTTTGGTTAACATAGCACACAGGGATAATCATAAGAGAGTGACAGGGTGTGTGCCATTGCTGGATCAGAACCTGCCCAATATTTGAGGTGGCTCTGATCAGCTGGCAGCCAGGTTCCGGCGGGCCAGTGGCCTCACTGGTACTACATCCTGCTTCATGCAGAGACATTCTCCAATGAGTGTTCTCAGCTGGGGAGGGGGTGAGAATGATTTCTTACCTTGGTAAATATTTTAAACTACACATTTGGGTTATCTAGCAAATGGAGTTTTGTTTCCCTCTTGGCCAACCGTGTCAAATTCCAATCCAAGTCACCTTCCACTGAGGGAGACCCGTGACACCTTTGTAATAAACTGAGAAGCTAGAGTATTGCAAAAAGAGCATCCAAAATGCCTAAGAAAATATTCCTCTGATGCAAATAGCCTTCAACCCTACGCCTGTATTGTTGAAGGGAGAGAAAACATTTTCTTAAATTATAAACCCAGCAGCTTTTACTCATGTCCACCAGCTTTTTGCACAGAGAATAATGTGTATCTAACCAAGGATGATCTAGGATAAGTAATTCCTGTTTTATATTGGGTACTTTAGGGGGTCTTTAAAAGACTTGTTTTATATCTATAAATTTAGGTTATTACAAATATAAGATTTTTGTACCTTAAATAAGCCTCATTCCTATTTCTTCTCCATCAACAATCCACTCAGAGTCTTGAGGAAAAAAAAAAGAAAAAGAACCTTCAGAGATAGCTTTTGAGAAGAACTTGTGACAAAATCAGTGTACCTTCCTTCCCTCCGACGGGGACTTTGGTGCCTGTGCTGTCTCCTCTTCTCTTCCCTAACCAAAGGGTGCGCCATTACCGCCTGCCCAGCGTCACTCACACAGAAGGACGGCGTTGCCTCACACCCTACCCCAGCCCCACTGCCTCCTAAAGGGGGTGGAAGGAAATTACACAGAGACTGAAAAAGAAGAGAGTTGGGGACAAGGCATAGCTTGGAAAGTTGGAGGACAGCAAGGAAACCCAGAATCGCATCCCCCCGAAGCTGGGCCACCACCTGTGATTGGACAGTCCTTATCACACAGTAAGAAATGTTTGTGCTCTTGAAATAGGACTTGTGCTTTATTCATATTCTGGTTGAATTTCTCAAACTTGTACGTTCACTGAGCACAGATTTCTTATCCAGAGATAAGTAGGATCTAAACCGTAGAACCTTGGCAGGATTTCCAAGCACTTAGCTCTGCGTTCTCTTCCTCCTTCACTCAAATCCCTAAAGATCTTTACTCATCATTCCCCAGGAGTAACAAGGAACTGTCCCTCCCCATTTACAGACTGATGTCCCATAGAAAAGGCAGGCATCGAAGCACCTTGTGATGGAAAGGTTATTTCCTGCATTTCTTGGTAGGATCATCATAGCTTTTAATGTAATGCTCCTGAGTTCTATCCACGTTAGGTCAGAGTTCAGGTAATTAGATAGGAATACCTGCTCATACATGAATACCTAGCCTAGTAAAATCCACAGCCACCTCTGGCCTTTTCAGCAGTGTCTTCCATATTGGATGAACAGGGAGAGAAACTGAGCAACACAAGTCAGTTGGCCCTCAGAGGCTCGTCCAGGGCACCGAGTAATGAAATAGCCAGGTAGTGGACTGACCCTCCGTTAAAAAAAGTAGAGTTTAGTTTGCAAGCAATATTATGCAACTTTCTATTTTCCTCATTAATTTATAACAGCTCATTTGACACAAAGTCAACTTAGAAAATTGTAACTCTTGGGATGTGTAGTGATATTTTTGGATCTCTGGATTTTATGTGTCAGTACAGGGAACTTTTATTATTATTTAAGATATTTATTTAGAGGAGGCACATTGTTGTTGATGCCTGTGATACTGCAGGTTTTTAAAATCTTCTTTGTATGTTTATCTAAGTTGATTTTTGACTGAATATAATAGACCCTACTGTAATTTGTCAAATACCACAGATTAATCACATCATTTGTGTGGGATTAGCTGTAAAGTGTACTGCAATAATTCTTGTTCAGAATAGTGAACTGGTAGCCAAAAATACATGTATCACAGATGTTAGGTAGAATTTAAACAACAGTCAAGTGCTATAGAAGTTTTTCTGCTAAATTAGTAGACTAAAGAATATTATACCTTGGCCATTGGGAGCAGCACGTTTTCCTTTGGTAGCTAGAACCTTAACACTAGTGAACAGTGCCAGTTTCATACTTTGGATTTAGACCTGTTCTCTAGTTATTATCACACAATATACTAGTAAATCCCTAATTTAACGTAGTGTTGGGACTGGGGCAGTAAAGTGTGTACGGGAGAGAAATCGAATCTCATTAAACACAGGCTGTCCCCGATTTATAAGTAGATCATGTTGCAAAACCCTGTTAGTTGGTTGTTTGCAACCTGGAATGTATTTTCCTCTAAAAACCAGGTTATACATAGTGGTTAGGCCCCAGAGCAGCTAGGAAGGATGATCAAACCCATCATTTAGCAGAATAAGGATAATAAAGCGTGATTGCTAAAAAGCCTAACCACCAGAGAGAATACGGTTTCTAAGGAGTATTTGTTCAGAGTTGCCAAGAAGACGTCACTCCTGTTCATGGAATCTGGACGGCCCACGCTAGCCACACACCAGCTGCTGGACGGTGGGGGGAGGGTGACCACTAGTTAGTGGAGACCGTGTGGCCTGAAGCAAGGTCTCCGGCAAAGGAAGGGAAGAGTAAGTCCAGGGCCACCAGAGAACCTGGTGGGAGGAGGAGGAAGAGGAGGAGGAAGATGGGGCCTCTTGTGGGTTGTAAACCGCCAGGGACGTTCATTCCTCGGCTGGTGTCCTTTCTTTTGCCTAGAGGTCTCAGGCTTGGCCTGACTTTTCTGTTTTGTAGGACCTGTTGCTCCGTGGTTTGTCCCCACCCACCCCACCCCACCCCACCCCACTTACAGAACAGGATGCTGTCGCAGAGCTTCCCCCGAGTGCCAGCACACAGCACTTCGAATGGGTTTCGGGCTAGTGAACCATGGTTTAGCCGCCTAGTAAGCAGATCGGTGTCAAAGAGGCTCTCTACTGACTTTCCTTCTCTGTGTTTGCGGACCCTGTTGAGAAAGGCACACGTGGGTGATGGCCACGGGGCTGGGGGTGGACAGGGGACTGTGGTGGGATCCCTGTGTTTGAGAGGACACCGCAGAAATGGCCCCCACAACTGACTTCCTTCTGGAGTTGGACTCAAGCCTCTAAGGCCGTGGTTCTCACAGAGTGCTCCCCGGATGGGCCACAGCAGCAGCAGCAGCAGCAGCACCTGAGGACTTGTGGGAATGCAGGGTTTGGGGCCCCACCCCAGAACTAATGGAATCAGAAACTGTGGGGCGGAAACCCTCAGCAGTCTGGGTTTGAACAAGCCCCCCATGTAACCTTGATGCACGTCAAGTCAGAGAACCACCACAGGCCAACTTGTCTCTCTTTGCTTCTCCCCAGTCGTCCTACCTCAGAGCGTGGTGCCTAGGAAATGTTGGTGCTGACGCACAGTCGTAAAGGAAGGCTCCCCGCACTCGGGTCTACCGGGCTGAGGTGCACTGGGAATACCTTTCTTTTGAAGCTGTGAAGACATGAAAGTGAAGTGTTTCTGTTTTTGTGGAGAACGCAAAGAAAATCCCCTTGGTAAATGCGGCCTTCCATAGAGGAGATCCTGAATTCATGCCAGGAGTTAAGTTCTCCACAATGTTCGTGTGCGTTGTGTAATGATCCATCCTGCCCTCCTTTTAAAGTGAATTCTCTAGAAAGGTATGCACCGCAAAAGCATCGACCAGCTGCTCGGAGAAGGCTGGGTTTCAGTAGGTCACGATGTTGGCCGGCCACTTGTGGGGTGGGGAGGAGGTTGAGGACACCATCAGGTATTTGATCTCATGCCTCAGAGCAAAGCCACTGGCTTCCCTCAGTTTATCAATGGAAATGGCTTGAGGCTTGGAAAGGGCGGAAGCTTTGAGAATAGAATGCCTCCATTCCACTTCCCTGTAAACTTGTAGCCACTCTCAAAACAAAGAAGACCCAGACTACATCACTGAGCAGGGCCAATAAATGGTTTTCCCTACGGATGGCAGATCTGAGGATCCTTCAGCAACAGAACATACTTCCTCTAAAATACACGCAGTGAATTATTGATGATGGCATAGGGCTTTAGGTACAAATTGGGAATGGGGTGGCTAACAATGGAAAAACCTCCCTAAATCTAAAAGGGAAAGTGCTTGAAAATAGTAAAATTCACAAGGCTCAGTCCTTCTCCTTCTTTAGGGTTTTCTCAGAGGAAGGGCTGTGAACTGGGCCCATCTGTCTACAGGCTTGACTTTGTGTTTTTAAAAGGAAGAATCTATGCAGCTGAGGTTTATTGTAGGAAATATTTCATTTGTATGTAAATACGTTGTAAATAAATAGGAGGCTGTATATTTTTGCAGTTGTTGATTCACACTGAAATAGAAGTCTGCATATCAAGAATCTAGTATCTGCATAACGAGAATAAATGTTGTCATAGATATTAGTGGTTTTGTTTGGGAATTAGGAAAATTTACATTCTTGCCCAGGTAACATCATCCTCTCAGTGTAAACTTGGATTCTAAAAATCTTACTTAATTGTTTAGAAAGCAAAATGTCTGAGAAATAGTTGCATTGATTTATTGTATTAAGATCAATTATTTAAGAGATAATCCTCTGAGCTACAAATAAGGAATATTTAGACCCAAATTACTGTCATATAGACATAGATATACCCAAAAGGACAAATTGTTTCTTCATAATGCTCTTTCGCCGTTAACACTGATACCACTACACAGTATTTATGAAAACAGAAGTTGGGGAGAATTTTTCTTTTCAAAATTAAATTGAATTGCTGCATTTCCCAAACCTTGGGATCTTTGAAAGGGGGAAAAAAACCTGAATATTAACTATGAGCACAAATTTGACGGGGGGGGGCGGAAAGACCTTTATTTTATCAAGCTTTTGAAAGTCTTGCATGTTTGCCTTTCATTTTCAGCGTTGACGCCAACATAGATTGTCTTAAGTCATTTTTTTCCCAAAACACTTGAATCTTGATCGTTGGTACGTAGTCCACTCTCCAGGGTCCAGTTGTAATTTAGACTTCATATAAGTCCAGTATGTGTAGCACACCACTGTTTTATTAATATAAAAACTTGTAAATGACTTTCAGATGGGTGATAGAAGTAAGTCACAAGTCACAAAACCTTGCTATTCATGGTTAATCAGTTTCTTTTCCCCCCAGGATGTGGTGTAAATAAAGAAATATTAAGAAGTTCTGTTCTATAATTGCTCTGTTAACATAGTTTTTAAACATTAAAAAATGTGAACTAAAAGCATTTTTGAGTTTTGCCTTCATTCTTTTGGGATGCAGTACTAAAATGGGGGGGGGGCATTTGATTGTTGGAGACAGATTTGCACACATTTGTCAGTGTTCTGGAACGTTGTATGTTCATGAAAACTTATATTTACATATCCAAACTTGAAAAAAAATACCTCTGATAGGAATCTGATCTGAAACATATTACATATTTCTCCATTCTTTGCAATCAGGGTAAACTAAACATAATATTTCCTTTTTAAACTCAGGTTCATCTTTATGGATCAATTTCTATGCTATATTGTAATAGGGACTCTAGTCTTCCTCTCCTCATATTATAGCCACCCGTAACAGAAAATTCTATCAACACCTCCATTTCTCTGAACTATTACGGGGAAAGCTTCTGCACCTTGACCTTTTCTTTGTCTATTCCTGGCTCCTCCTCCATGATCTTAGGAAGGTTTATCAGACCAGCAAGATGGCCAGATTCTGATATCCAGATTCCTTTTGCAGACTGGTTTAGTGCAAAAACAACCTGGACCTTGATGGTATGACTGGGTACGCAACCCTTCTTGCCTCTCCCTGAGCTGCCTGGATGACAGCCCATTCTGCAGAGCACAGGTGCATGTGTGGATCTCAAGGTGGAAATTTGGGGCACAGGAGCTGTTATTCCAAATCAGTTTCATTGGCAAGAAAGCTGATATTTTTATACATGTATTCCTTGTCTATTCCTTAGCCAATCAAAACCCCCGAGGCAAAGAGTATAAGTAATTATTACTTTCAAACCCAAGTAGTTGTTAAAATGCAAACATCCAAAAGGCCATTGAATATATGAGCTGGTTTTGTTCTAAATCAAAAGATTCGATCCTCCAGTGCTTTTGACAGTTCTGACTTCTTCCACTATTACTCCGTGAATGTCTGCCAATACTGTTCTGTTGTGCCCTGTTTTACATATTACAGTCTGGGTGAGGGTTATTCTCTCTCTACCTCCCCTATGGGATAAACTTCGGGCTCACTGACTTTGCAACTCAAAAGACCTGTTTACTTACCTTCTAGACTCATAATTGTATTTTGTCTGGTTGGATAACCTGGAAGAGGTTGATGAGACCCAAATAACAGAGCAATTTTTTTGTATACCAATGTTTTATCATTAGTTAGTTTAAATTTTAGACTAATCCGAATTGGCAGGACAATCTGTTCTTCCTCTCTGGGCTCAGTGTAACATCAAAATAATCTGTCAGATTATCAAAGTGTATTATAAAGCTGTAGCACCTACAACAGATTTTTACTGATGTGAAAATAAATAAATAGATCATAATAGAGAACACATAAATGGTCCAAATAACACCAGAACGGTGGCCTTTAAATTAATAGGGGAAATAAGGGTTATTCAATTACTATGAAAAAAATGATTAGCTTTTTAAAGAAAATAAAGCTAGGATCCTCTATTGCCCCTTATATCTAAAGACGGCTCGAATACACAACACGTGGGCAAGTATGTTTTTTTTCACAAGTGTAAACCCATGACTCTCATAAGGCTGTCATGCGTCAAAAATTTTATTTAGCTCACTATTAATGAAGGAACAAGTAAGATATTTTAAAAATGGTTCAAAGGATAACTCAAAGAACAGACACATATATAAGCAATCGGGGGAGCTGAAATGAATTTGCTAGTAGACACAAAACTGGACTAACCCACAGAGAAATCAGTTGCATCTCCACCAGCAGAATTCTTTTACTTCTCTGGGCAGTAATCATTTCTACATCAGTTTGGCATAATTTGCAAGGCTATAACATAATTCAAAACCCCCATCTCCCCCAAAAGGCAAAATATGTACAGAATCAGCTAACCCAGAAGAGATATCAAAAGTATTCCCAGTAGCCTTTTTTGCGGCTTCCAAAGTCTTTCCAATTTCCCTAACGGCTTCCTTTTTTTTGTGACTATAAAAATCTCAAAGATTGTTTTTGATAATAAAAAAGGGCTGGACTCATTGGGTTTGGCCTGATTATTTTCTTAAGTGAGGCAAGTATTAATCATATAGGGTTCTTTGAATCTGCTTTTAAAACTCATAGCCATGTAGTACTGAACAGCTACTGGAGCCACAGAACTGTATGTTTAAATGTCTCTATTATTTACTAGCTCAAGGCTGGGAAAGGAACTCCAAGAAACTACCATATTTTGCTTGCACTGTCTATAAATTTGAGTGAATTCCTCTCTACTTGAGTCCCGTCCCCCTCCCTACCCCCTGCCCGGCCCCATTTTCACCACCTTTAAGGATTGTACTCGGCCGGTTTTGCTGGGATGGTTTTGTAGGCATTGGCTCCATAAGTAAAATCAACCTTTGTTCCTTAGAGTTGTTTGACGTAACTGACTGAGCATCATTCTCGAATATGACATTCCAGGAAAGGCCATCCTTACACGATCAATTTTTTCCAATTATGTACCGGTAGAAAGGAAAAGATTCTTGTTGAACCTACGCAAATAAGTATATTGCTGTGAAACAGTATGGGAACTCAGCTTTTTACTTTGGTGGTGGTAGAAAGGTCAGTGAGAAGCAGGGAAAAAAAAAGTTTAACTTCACTTTACAAGAGCAGGGTCTACTGGATTGTTGTAGATTAAAGGTCACTTAAGAAGAAAAATGGCCTCCTTATGGATTCAGAAAATAGAGCATTTAAGACAGCCTCAACAACCACAGTCAAATTTCTATCAGCTCGTTTCATCCTGTGAAATTCTATTCTGTGGGATCTTGATGTAGCATTCTGCTTTTATAAAGTTGTCTGCTTCTGGAATCGAGTCCTGGACGTCCACCCACACTGCACAGGTACAGCCTGAAAGCCATCCAAACTATGTCAGCTCAAGTTTGTACCCAAACATCTATTCTTTGAAGTGTCAATAGTTCAATGTACTTGGCACAGTCCAACTCCCTGAGAATCTGGACAGTTTGTCTTTGCTAAAGAACCAGATTTTTGGCCTGAAGTTTGTTGTAGAGCCTCAGGCAAGTTTCAGGAAGCAGAAGTCTAGTTGATAATGAGACTGGAAAACTGTTGCTAACAGACTGTAGCCATGAATGGATATCCATCCTATCATCAGTGTTTTTCCACATCACCTTGAAAAGCTGTATAGTGTGCCACTGAAAGATCATCTGGCCATCTTTTTTTTTTCCCCCACTTTAGAGTCTTTCAAAGTTTTTCTGGCACTACCTATCTATATCTCATTTATATAATATCTTGGAAGAAAGGAAGGCCTTTCTTGGTACAAAACACAGGAGTCACACCGGAAGTAACTGACTAATTATTATTTTAAAATTCTCTACGTATGGTGCACCGGGGTAGGATAGCTAAGGGTCTGACCACTGGTTTCACCTCAGGTCATGACCTCGAGCACCCTGTCCATCTCTATGCTCAGCACGGTGTCTGCTTTGGATTCTCCCCCTCCCCCTGCCCCTCTTGTTCATGATCTCTCCCAAATTAAATAAATAAATCTTTAAAACTCTCTATGATTTATAAAAGTGCCAAACAGAAAAAGAATCCAAAAATTCCAATTGAAAGATGAAACACATTTGCCATAACACATGTTTCAACTGGTATAATCTGACTCTCAAATTTGAGGTCAAAATTATTCAAAATATTCTCTTGGTCGAATTATCAGGATGGCCAACATGTCTTTCTTGATACTCCTGCCTTCAAATTGTCCAAGCAGAGGTACCTGCTTCCAAATTCCAGGTAAAAGAGAACTGGAGAATTTAACCCATTTACATCAGGCCTTTCTCACTGCAGTGCAGTTTCTGTTGCTGCCACATGTGGTCACTGTTGAACACCAGCTCTGCACAATTTCTTACGTGTGCCTACTATGGTAATAATGCTGTCACAGGCTCACAGTTCAATGAGGGCTGAAGTCATAGAGGAATGATGACCTTAATCCATGCAGTGCTATGATAGACATCACCTTGAGAGCCCAAGCAATGAAGAGTGCCTCAGTTTGCCAGAAGTTCATTCCCAGCTCATGCCCTCCAGAAGGGGCTCAGAAGGGGCTCCAATTATACTTGCACACTGTATCAGAGCCACCCCGGCACCCTTCCCCATCCATGGGCATTTAAACCTGATATTGATCTCAGGTCTCAACTCCAGGTGTCCCTCATGGTGAGTTTCCCTTGGGACTCTCAGGACTGTTTCCTGTCCCCTCTGAGATCATCTCAATCTACAAGAGAGGTTCGAAAACAAAACTCAAAAGGAAAGGAATTGGGTAGAAGACATAATATTATCTTCCCGGGAGGCTTCCTGGTGCCTCTGCAAATTTGCTTGACCCTTTCAACAGTTACTGTTTCAACATACCAAGGGATATTTGGCTTTGGACAATCATAGATAAACCACAAAAATGTTCCAGTTACATCTTTCCCTAGGGGTGATGCCTGCCAGTTTGGCTCCTATTTGGAACTTAAGAGGCGCCATTCAATTGACTTTCCTTGTTTAACAGTGACTAAACTGTCTTCAAAAAGAAGCACCTAGAAACTTCCTACAGTTCTGCCTACATAGTCCTTGACATAGAGCAAATCTCCTTAACAAATCTAGTTTTAAAAATCACTAAGAAGGGGATCCCTGGGTGGCTCAGCAGTTTG